GTTGAAGGAATTTCTGTTGCTGCTGTTGTTACTTTACATGCTGCCAAATAATTCCAGACTCAAAATGACTTAACGACTGAACAACAACAATAGGGAATTATTGTGGCCATTTTAGAGGTGTGTTGGCTGGGGATGTGATTGTGTGTGTTCTTTTGTATGCAGATCAGATAGCAAGCACAGCATTGCAATCCAAGCCCCTCCCCCTCCCCCTGTTTTGCACATAGGTCAATGTTTCATGTATATACAAAAAGAGCTGGGCTTGGATCACAACACTATGCCTGCTATTGTGCAGACTTTGACTCTCTTCTGCGGAAGCCACTGATGCAGGTGATACCATGTTATTGCCTGAAAACCTGGGTGGTTTGCAGCGAATGTTAAGTAGATTGTATTATCTACACAAGGTCTAACAAAAAGTATGGATCTGAAAATTAATGTATCAAAGAACAAGATAGTTGTGTTTGACAAGGAAGATGAAGTGAATGATAGCAAGTTATAAATACATACTAGAGCAAGTTGTTGCTCTTGTCTGTCCTGGTAGAATGTTTAATAAAGATGGCAAAATAGAAGGAGTAATTTTAAGATGTCAAATGCTGATAAAAAGGTAGTGGACAGTAGGTGGTTTGTAGCAACAAGTGAACGTTTGTTTTTTAAATAAACCCAAAATGGCTTGTAAAAGAAACATATATAAATTGAATACAGTGGAAATAAGTATGTGTAGTAAGAGGAGAAAAGGTCATGAATGAGTGTTGAATGCTAAATAAGAAAGAAGCATCTTGTGATGGTTTCTTCATGTAGAGAAAATTGCAATACAAATATACTGTATGAAGGAAGAATGAATGATTGAGAGAAGGGAAAGATGGAGAAAGTCATGGTTGAATGAAGTTCATGATATCCTCAAAAAGAGGAGGCATGTAAAGAAAAAGAAGAGGCAGTGAATGAAGCACTGTACAGAAGTGATGCATTTATTTATTGATTTGGTAAATATATATAGCCATCCATCTCACATATGTGATTCTGGGCAGCAAACAAATTTGAAAAAGAACAGTACAACGAATAATAAAAAAAATAACAACAAAAAGCATTAAAAACATTAAAAGCAGTAAAACCATTATAACCATAAAACATAATTCGTGGAAGAGTGCAGTCAGTTTCCCTAACAATATAACCACCTTACAGATTCCATATCCACAGTCCTGGATCCCCTAGCCAGATGGCAAAGATACGGAAAGGAATAGCAAATGGTGTTCATTCATATAAACTACTTTGATCTATATTTTCTTTTCTTAGCTAGGGCCTTTAATTTTTTGGATTACTATTTCTTATTCTTTTTTTTTTTTTTTTGCATAGCATGTTTACTTAGAAAAGAAATAGTGTGATGGGAATTTATGTCTGTATGTAATATATACAATGTATTCAGATTTTTGACAGAGTAGGTTACTGAATTTGAGTTGAAAAAACTGGCTGATCACTAGATGGGAGCAAAGAGTTTATTCTAACTTTTTATTGCCATCTGCTGGTGATCTGGATTTTTCCCATCAAGATCTGTTATCTCTAAAAGACAGAGAATAGGAAGGCTGAAATCTGTCCCTTACTGGATCATCCCATGTTACTTAGCAGAAAAAGAATTCCTCCTCTACACTCAGACAGAAAATGTTCATTACTACTTACCCAAACACTTCTAGACATATGCTGTAAATAGGTCCTGAATCCCCATACCTACCGTGTGGGTCAGCATCCATGAGAGCAAAGATAGGTATGTGACACGTATCCCATAACTTTCTGACTAGTAGTCTTGTATTGATATCCGGTACACCTTTACCCTAAAGAAATAATTAGAATATTTATACCAATGAGACATTTTCCAAGATATGTTTAGACATGACAGTACCTCTAGTCAAATATATTACAGAATTCTAAATGTATATATTCAGTTTCCAATGTGTATAATCATTTTTTAAACAGTTCATATCAAATAGATGAAACATTAATACAAAGCCAATAAAATCTACATCCATAAAATTAATCTCCAAAAGCTATATGAAAAATTTGTGAAAACAATGAGGGGTTAAGGCATAATACACAGTGCTCGTTAAAGGAATTAAAAGATATCCAGAAGATAAACCTGCTTTTAGATACAAACTAGGCAGGTGTCACCATTTAAAAGACCTGCAAAAATAAGAAGGTAGTTCAAGTGTCTAAAACTTCATTTGGGTAAACGCCAAGAACATCTCAATAAAGAAGGCACTCTGTAATGCTGGTAGTGATGAGATGACTGCCCTCAGTTGCTGCAGCCTGGAGGTTAGGGTGGCATCCAAGTTGTCTCAACAGTGGGGGCCCATCTGAAAGGTTTGCCTTGGAGCCCAGAGTGCTCTACTCATACCCTTGACTGGAGATAGTATAACTCTTCCCACATGTTTTATATCAACTGAAGTTCTGGATTGCTTTCCAGGGCAGCTTCACAACACAGTGGAAGCTGGAAGTCTACTCTGCATGCACTAGCTTTCTTTACCTATAAACCTATTGGTTACTATGGTCAATAGATGCAGAGACAGTTATCAGGGGGACTCTGTACTTTTATCTCCATTCTTTCTCTAAAAAGACCCACTTTGTACATCTCTATGTAACATCTGTCCTTTTGATTAGACTGGCGTTCTCAGAGCTTTCATCACTTTCTTTCTCTCTCAGTTCAGTTTTCTTTTTCTTCTCACTCTGACTTGTATAGTTCAGGTACTTCTCTAGGTCATTCTTTCTCCATAATGTACTGTAAGCACACACTACTGACTCTTATCTGTAGATAAAGTAACTTAGGCCTTCCTATCACTGGGTTATTTTCTAAATAAAGCTTATCTTTATTTTCTTTCATACAAGCACCAGCCTCAAGAATACCTTCTTACAAAAGTTGCACTCCTAACTTTAGTGTTTCTTTTTCCATGCATTCTTTCTACTATATAAAGCTGTTTGCTATCCAACTGTGCTTTGTTGTTGGAAGTAATGGAGGTTCACTGAAGCCAGACAAATCTCTATTAAGTAGGAAAGATATTATGCCTTAATGACAAAGATAAATCTGCAACCCCTCTTAAGTGTGCACTTGACCCTTAGGAGCAATGTGGCATTTCTGATATAGATTATACATCATTTTCCTGGAAGACAAACCACCAACCTTCTGCTTTAACTAGACTGGGTTTTAATTCATCAGCCATCTGTCAGTCTACTACTATAATCAGACACTGATTAAGGTTTTCAGTGGTTCAGATAATATAACTTTCTGCCTGTAGCTGAGTCTTCAGAAGAAGAAAGAAGGAAAGGTGACAAGCCCCTGGGGAGACACAGGTCCTGCTATTCAGCCTGAATCAGAACCTCTTCTGTTACTTTTGCAGAGTCTGAGCAGAATTATAAGTGTTAAGCCTGAGAGTGACAGCAAGCTGTGAAAATATGAGGCTGAAACCTGGGCTTTTGGGGAATTATGGGCACCAGTTATTAATCGTATGCCTGAGCTTGGGTGGTTTGGCCATAAATAAACAGATGACTCACTAAGCAAATGGTTGGAAATAACACTTGCAACCTCCTGTCTTACTGCTCCATACTTGGAAACCCAGACTTGTTGAGATTTACATGGATTCTTTTCCTCCTGACTATTGCCAGCTATGTCTCCTCCCTGACTCTTTCAGCCCTGGGGAAGTACTGCTAGTTAAATCAGATTTGGCTTTATTATTCTGCTTATTCTTCTTTGTGGTGACTTTGTGGCAATTACCACATTGTCAGTTTGGGATGATATGATTATCCCACTATGGTACCCCAGGAATAGAACAGCTCAGCATGTAATCACCATGCTGGTAGCATTGCGTGCTTAACCTCTGAGTTACTTCACTTAGCACTTTCATATAGCATGGAGAATAAGACAAAATCTTCCACAGGCCCAAAGCACAAATATCATGTGGTTGAGCAGAAACACCCTAGCACCATTTTCTGAAAAGATAATCTATGTATTAGTAAAACCACTGTAAAACAAAGTCTTTCAAAGAAGGGCATAATTGATAGTATTGAAAGTTGCTGAATGTATCCAGGAGAATTAATAGGATTATGCTTGCAGATTACAGTGGCCCACCTCATAGTATGACCAAGGCAGTTTCACTACTGAAACCAGGCCTAAACACAATTGAAACGAATCTGAAAATTAATTTTATTCTAGAGTGTTTGGATCTGCTTGGCAAAATGTAAACTTGTACCGTAATTATTATACTTGGGGACATTTTACTGCAGAAGTTGTCATCTAACAATCTCTGAAAAGTTGCATCTTTTTCTATAATTAGAATAAATTTTGCATCTGTAATCAAATCTGTAATATTAAGGATTCAAGAAAAAATACTGGAATTCAACTGTACTACATAAAGTACTGAATATTGTTTGATTCAGTATCAGTGACACCATTTTATATTGAATCTTTAGTTGTTGTTGTTTTTTACTTCTTCCTTTAGTCTATACATTTTGCTTAAAGGATACTTCTTATTCCTTCTACATTAGATGGTACAGGTGCCTGAGAAAACAGAAGTTAAAGTGTTTTAGAAACTGAGGAAAGACATTCTTTCAAATTAATTAGACAATAAAAAGCAAAAATAAATCTCTAAAAGGCTTTTCCAAAATAAATAACTATTGTAATGCTTCATTACTTTGTGGATGCTATCAGATATAACTTAGTAAGTATTGTGGTTTGCATGTATTAACATCCTAATTCTAACCATCCTTCAAGAGTCAATACCTTACAGTGGTGAGGTGGCCCGTATATCAGAATCACACTATGAGTTGGGAATTTTGTAGACTAAATGCAATCCATTGGAGAAAGAAAAGCAACCCACTCTAGTATTTTGCCAATAAAATCCAAGGGACGTTCACAACCCAGAGAATGTCAAGAGAATACTGGAAGAGTAGTCCCCCAGTCTGGAAGTATCCAACAAGCTACTGGGGAGGAGCAGAGTACAAATAGCATCAATGCTTATAATGTGGCTGTATTAAAATCAAAAGGATGTCCAGGTCCAGCTACTGATATGGCCAGAGGTAAAAAGAATGTTCAGTGTTGCAAGGATATGTATATCATTGGTGCATGGAATGTCAGAACAATGAACTAGAGCAGAGTTGATGGGAATCAGTGAACTGAAATGGACTGGAATGAGTTACTTCACATCAGAACATCAGATTTCTACTGTGGATAAGAAAATCATAGAAGAAATTGAGTAGCCATTATTACACTGACAACAAAAGAACATATTGCCAAAGGCATGGTTTTCCCAGTTGTAACATAAGGCTGTGAAGGCTGAACTTTCAGAAAGACTGAAGGAAGAAAAATTGATGCCTTTGAACTGTAGTGCTGGAGAAAACTGTTGAGAATACCATGAACTGCAAGAAGAACAAATCATTCATTGCTCAATAAAGTCAACCCAGATCCCTCCTGGCAGCACTAATAATAAAGCTAATGCTTAAATAATTTGAATGCATCATTTGAAAGCAAGTCACTGGAGAATATCTCATGCTTGTGGCTAATCTTTTTTTTTTTTACTTATTTTATATTTTTATATTACTATCTTTAATTTCATGGCTTAACTCTATGTGAATGAGCAGTCATGTACCTTCAATTACTTATTCATCTACTTATTCATCTATCCTTTTTTGCAGAGGAATAGGTTAGATGTTTCCGTTCCTGATTTCTAGAAAGCCAGTCTGCCATTTAAACTGTCTCTGCCCAACAGGACATATGATGTACTTTATAATCCATGTAAGAAAATTCAGCATATTCTCACAGGGTTGCTCAGTTGAGCCCTCCCCAACCCATCCTTGAGTTGGCAAAAAACTATTTTGGCATAAAATTTGCTGTTCTCCATCCTCCCTCTATTGTCTCTTCTCCCAATCACTGATTTCCCTCCTAAGTAATGGGTAACAAAGCCTAACAGATTTTGCATACATTGAGGTTGTCCTTAGATAGAATCACAAGGGAGAAGAAACTGGACAGCTAAGGATAATTTAAGCTTCTCTGTCTTATGAGTCACAGGTAAGATGAAGACTACATCATAAGCAGATAATGATTTTACCAGAATGTGCCATGGTTAGGTGCAAGTGGAAAAAGTCCAGACATTCAGTCCAGTAAAATTATAGCCAAGCAACAAAAACTTGTTTATCATATCGGAAACCTAATGGATATAAATCATGAACCTCTCTTACTGAATACATAATGCTATGCATTATTTGACCCCTAAAGTATCATTTCTCTAAAAGTTTTGGATAATTCAGTGTTAATTCTCTGCCTAGCAATTTGAACATATCTAATCCTATTGTGGTACTGGCATGCTGAAATTGGATTGAAAATAATTATGGAGATTGTACTGATTCTGTTTTTGATGGAGTGGACAAGCAACAATAATTATACAATAACTATAAACACTGAATATGTGTTTTATGACCCAGAGTTTACAATCAAAGAATGTAGCAGTTGTAAAAAGACAGTAATTTAGTGTTTTTGCAAAGAACAGTTCTGGTTTTTCTTTGAAAGACTTGAAGTGGGTGTTGTTGCTCCAGAATAAAAATTACAAGGCCTCATAATGTTTTTAGCAAAAATATATCATCTATGTGCTTTCAACTACAAACACACAAATGCGTATCTTGTATAAAATCAGAAAATAATAATGAATTGTACATACTGTGGTACTGCAAGTACAATTTACTTTTGTACCATCCTCCTCAACATAACTAAGATTACCAGCAATGCACCCTTTGCTAGTGGAGAGCTGCAAATAAAAAAGTAGCACTTCACATATTAATTACATAGTCACCAGGATAATATATCTAATCATTATATATAGGCTAGATAGGGAAAAAAAATCAGTTAAGCCTGAGTAAACACAAATGTTGTCATAGTATTCTTCATTACTGTAAATAGGCACAGGAAATTTCATCAATTCTAATATTGGATTGGCCAAACTTAATATTGAATTAGGCAACTACTTCCTGATGTTTGTAAGTAGTGTGGCTTATTTCCATGCCAATCTGACATTGATAGAAGTTTGACCACTGTCCCCCAAGCCTTTCCCACACAATATCTAAGCTCTTTGATAACCGATCCCTCAAAACCATCCCACTTCATTTTTTATTTGGCAAGTGGGGAAAGTATTGGGAGTTCTCTGGCAGTAGTACTCTTGCTGGAGCATAGGAGGGTGGTATCTCCCTTTTACGCCACTGAATCAGTGCACTGAAATGTGTCTTTTTCAAGGTGGATTACAGTGTGAGTGAGCAAACACAGAAACGGTAAATAAGATATTTTTCCCCTCTTCTCTTGGCTATAGTTTGCTTCTGGAGTGTCACTACTAGAAAAAGGAAATGGCAAAAGATCCCTCCCCACGCACACACATACACTTTCTTCTCCCTTCTGTGATTTGCAGCTGCCACTAAAATCTACTCAGTAGATATACGTATGATTTTATAATTTCTCTTTTCATGCCCATCGGTACTTATTATTGTGGGAAATTAAGAAAAATGTTATTTCCTACCCTTTTCCCCCAAATGCATTAAATTACTGCAGATCATGTAAGAGACATTTAATACTTAACAATATGTAGCATCCTCCTGGGTATCTTGAGCATACAGGAAATGTCATTTATAATGTTGTCCACAACCCTCTGATTACCAAAATGTACTGTATCGGTGTAAAATATATCTCTGTCAGAATAAAATATTATTTTAAAATAAAATAATTACAATCTCAAGGGATCTGAATGCTACTTAGGAAATGCTCTAGGACTCATGAATACTTAGCAAAGGACATCCCACCGGTATTAGCTGTGGATATCATCACACTGCAGTCTGCCTCCTTGTATCTCATGCTTTGCCTCTTTACAATCAAAGAATGTAGCAGTTGTAAAAAG